CAAGCGTCACAACATCCAAGCCCCACAATGGCTGCAGGGTAACTGTAACCCTTCTCAGTCAGCGTGACTGCCAGAGGAGGATGCTACAGTTATGGGCTGGGATTGACCAAACACACACACCGGCACACATGTACGAGCGCTGCCAAAGGGTGTGTGAATTGTGTCAACTGCCTGTTTTTGGGCTGCAAACTGGGTTTAACCCTCTTACATTTGAACTTTTTGCCACTACTTGGTATTTCTTTTTTTGGATTCAACATTGTACAAACCCTGGATTTTCTTATGATCTCAATTCTAATCTTGAAGGTTTATATTTTGATCGTRACCACTGGAGGACTTATTTATCTGCCCTAAGCCTTTAATATCATTGGACCTCTTTGACAATGGAGAAGATGTAGAGATCAAAGTGAGTGGGAGGAGCCACAGCTCATAGTCCATAATGATTGGTTTGAACTTCAGTTTGCATGAGCTGCTCGGAAGATTTGAACAGGTATACCTACAAAAAAAGTTCAGAGTATTCGTTACATGTCACTTCTGCATAGTGTTTCAATTCAGCTTGATTGAAAGAAATATTTATCTTCTTGTGCTTTTGGATCCATTATAGTCAGCTTTATGACACCTGAGTAGGTTTTGTTGGACTTATTTAGAAAGAAGCCTCAATTTTCACAGGAGTTATGTTCAGAGTACCCGCAAATCGTGAAAAATCTCAAATATTGGATGCGRGCCAGAAAAGGCAGGGTGGCTTCCTAATGCGATAAGAACCAAACAAAAAACGCACAAGAGCTAAACAGTTAGCAGCTCCTTGCTACATGGTACTGTTAGATTGCGGAGGTCCTGCATTCCAGTCGAAGTGTGGTCTCGTGTCACGGTACTGTACTGTATTGTTTATGATATTTGTTACGAAATTAAAAAAATTATTTTTTTCCTGATAATTTAGCTTGAAAACTCACAAAAAAAGCATGAAAAAAGACATAGATGTTATATTACCGTATTTCTGGTTTACTCGATATCATGTGGATCACGGCAAACTACTAATAATGAGGTTCTACGTAAAAAATCAGCAAAACAGAGTCTGCAAAATGCAAAAAGCCACTTTGTGGGGGTTCACTGTTTATAGAGTGATTAATCCTAACATGCTTTGTTGTTAGAAAAAATAGCATCAGCATTATAAAAGTGTTTGCATGAATTGCTTTTAGAGTTACCTGCAAGAGATGTTAATTGTGTATACCAGTGGTTCCCAAACTTTTTATCTTCTGACCCACAAAATATTCATTGCAAAATCTTGTGACCCCAAATTTTACTGGTCTGAATAAACAAACTTTGTTGATAACCCTAAAAGCAAAGGCTACACAAATATAAATACTTATTTGTACTTATTTTGTATTTTTGTAAACATTATAGGGAAAATATTACATCACCAATTATTTCATTGCCATTTAAATTGATTTCTGAAGTGCAGTGGTTCCCAAACTTTTCAGCTTTTGATAAACAAAATAACAGTAGCAGAGACCTGTGCCCACAATTTTTTTTTGGATAATAAACATTTATATCAGGTCAACTAAACATGGGCATAGTAACAATATTTATTATTCTACATTTATACATTTTAGGCAAATAAGGCAAAAATGTAATTAATGTAGAAAATCTTATCAGGACCCCAACTTGATGTTTCAGGACCCCACTTTGGGGCCCAACCACAACTTTGGGAACCACTGGTTTATACCCTTTCCACTGGACCCCTTTATAAAAGATCAKAACTAATTCTTTAATGACTGTAGCATCTCGCATCAGGACAAAATAGTCTACATCTAAATCAATAACTTCAGTAATATTTGTTTTAGTAGCAAACAGAGGTCTGTTATTGATGATAGCCTGTGGCACACAGATGTTTTTGTTTGTGTGAGTGTGTTAGAGAGAGAAGAGAAAATGATCTGTCACTATATTTAAGCCCCTCAGGAAGCACATTGACATCTACAAACTTTTGGCTCCAAGTCATCATTCACCGGGGGAAATGAAATTTAAAGGCTGCTTTGTAAATGAATATGTTTGCCCTCTCGGTCTGGGCTCTCTGTCTCTTGTATGAATGTGCCAGTGTGTTTGTGTGTGTGTAGTCTATATGTGGAAGCTGAAGTGCAAAAAAAAAAAAAAAAAAGGAAGGGGAAGCACTTGTGTAATGACTTGAAATGCAGCCAGCTGGCTCAGTTTTTTACTTTGTGTGTCCATCTAGTTTTCCTTCCACCTTTCCTCAGTTGTCTCCACACCTTGTTTTACTTGCACACTTCCTCACTTTCTCCAGTCTATGACCTTTAAAAAGCCGTGTTCTTTCAATGGGTTATTATCTTCGCAGATCACAGTGGAGGGATTTGCTTAACCTTTGTTAAATGTCTGTTGATGTTCAGTAAATTGCAGTACATTTCTTTGGCTGTATGTGTGTTTGTGTGTATCTGTGAGTATGTTGCGTTTGGGCTTTAAATTGCTCTGCATTTTACAAGAACATGTTTTTTTAAGGGGATTAAAGCTCCTTCCACATCATAGTATCCTCACCATCTAATTCTTTCATAACGTTGTGTATTATGTAACAAAGTATGCTCACTTTCAGTGTTTTTTTCCCTCACACTATTGAAATCTTGCTTAGATGTTGTGTTAATGTGCTCAAAACATGCGTGTTGTATTCTTTTGTTTGTCCAGCAGCACTGCATCGCATTTAAAATCAGGGCTCATTTTACCAGCAGATTCTTCTCATCCATCGGGTTTTACTGAGCTCCATCTGGGGATCAGGTGTTCCCATCTCTCAGATGTCTGATAAAATCAGGATCTGGGGAATCTGCTGGTAATGTCAGTGTTTTGAACCTTTTGGCAAGCTATGCAGTGTTTGTAGAGGAAGAGCACTTCACCTGGCTGGAGGCTCAGTTTGGTCTGAATTATAAAATTTGAACTCTCTATCATCAATAGAAGGCACAATACAGTTCTTGGGCTGTTCTTATAAATAGATTTCTCATTTCAAAGTTCCATCTACAGCACATGTCAAACTCAATGTCCCCCGTTGCTAAATGTGGCTTGCCTACATTTTATGTGGTCTGAGAGAGCTTCAAAAATGTAATAATGTCTTAACATAAGCATATTCTGTGTTAAAGCCAGCCCTGACCATAAACTACTGTATTTATTCAAGTATAATATGTAAAATTAAATCCATAAAAATCATCCATAAAGTTGGAGGGTAGTACTATACTCGGGAAAATATATTTTTTTACTTATGCATTTTAACTGAAATATAGCTTCATTCAAATAATGCCTTAGTCCGGAAATGAGACCATGCAGTAAAAAGCGGTTGAAAAGAGCTCACCTCTGACACTCCTCCATGCTTCAGAATGAGATAATAACTGATCCAGGCAGGCGACATGATGTGAAAAAAAGTGGGGAAAAGTAGTCCTTAGTAATGATAACGAACTGACATTAGCGTGTGTCCGGGCTGCTCCTCGAACAACAACAAAATGTTCGTCTGTAATGGCTGCCATCTACCGGTGTTCTGAAAAAGTTTGTATCCCTGAAAAAACATTTCCCCACCAGAGGGGGCGCTCGCGAGTAGGAAATAATCTGCTTTTCCCCCACAAGATGGCCCAAATCTCACGTGAAGTCTCTGACTTTTGTGTTGGTGCCTCCTGGTGGACTATGTGTAAAATGCCAGAATTCAYATGATGCTGCTACAGCTGATATATATTTGTTGTCAAAATACCTTTTAGTACATATGTTGTTAAAATAAAATGAACAGTCCAATGATCATTTTACTGATATGTATAAAGACTGCAAAGGCTGAAAAATATTGAAGTCTGGATGAAATTGGAGGTAGTTTGAGGATTAAAATTTTTATGCTTTTTAAGCTCAAAAGGTGGGGGKTGTCGTATTATACATGAGATCGTATTATACACGAATAAATACGGTACATCTCACGTAATGCATGTTGATTATTTTACCCGCAAAATGACAGCATCTCATCACTAGGTGGATGTTCCAGCTACTTATGCATTTGCACTGTGAAATGGTAATTTCCCACTTACAACTCGTAAATTCAAATTAGAACGCTGCTTAAATATTGTCAAAATATAATGCAGCTGTGCAAATAATCCACTAATATAATTTTAAGAGACTGGGTTCATCTAATTTTACATTTGGTGTCCAGACAGATTTTATATTACCCTGCCATATTGTAATAAGACTATAGGTCCTTTTTTTATCTACTCCCATTTTTCTCTATTGCAAATCTGTCTCTGTGCTGCGGGCAGTGTTACACTCATCTGTACTGCTTTTGGAGTCTTTATCTTTAGCTGAAATAAGTGGAGCTGAGGGGAGTCCCAGYTGAGATGGCGGGAGAAAGGAAAATGGAGCAGTTTTACACATCTAAAAATAAAACATTTGACAGAACCCTCTGCTTGCGTCACWCTCCCATGTGGTTAGACACTCTTCAGACAAACCCTCACACACACTCTTTGAGATGTGGTTGTGTAATAGATCTGCTGTGTTTGGCTCACTCATATCCACAGTCACACATGGTTCATCACACAAATGAATGTGGTAGTGTCTTGCAGCCACGCATGACATTTTGGAAAGGCGAAAGTATTAYTCTAGCATCAATGAGCTCCCTTTTGACTCAGTGTAACAATCGTATAACGTATTGCTGCATAAATGTGGAGGCAGATATTACTTTGAGACTGCTTCTAGTTTGGGTGGGCTTGCCAAGTCAGTGAAAGGGTAGAAGTTAAAATCTCTAAGGTCAAAGTGCCTTAAGGATGCTGCATCAAAATTTTAAACTTCTCTGCCCTCTGGAAATGTGTGCAGTCTGCCATGAACTTCTTCAGATTAATCTGCACAGGAGAATCCAATATCATTCAAGGCCACTAAAGCATCCTTCTTTTTCTTCTATTTTAGTAAAATTTATTGACTTTTATGTTGTCCTTGATTGTACTTTTTGGAGGTCTCTGATTGGAGCAAATCTTACGTATTTGCAGGATATTCAGGCTGAGATCGATGCACACAATGACATCTACAAGAACGTGGAAGGGAACAAGTCGAAAATGGTCAAAGCTCTGGGCAATTCTGAGGAAGCTGTGCTCCTGCAGCACAGACTGGATGACATGAACCAACGCTGGAGCGACCTGAAAGCCAAATCAGCCAACATTCGGTAAGAAACACTGACCTGTATTCATTCATTCACATTCTTTWCCCACTTTATTCTGTTCTGGGAGGTACAGAAGATGACAAATYACATTAATTTCTACGGTCAGTTTAGATTCACCGATTAGAGCAACTTTCATATTTATGGAGAGAGAACACCCACACATGCACAATGCAACATACAACCTCCTCTCTAGCCATGTTTCCATGCAATTGTGMTGCAATTTTTGACTGACCTTTTAAAATGTTGAAAAAAGACYAAAAGAAATGCAAATTGGGCGTTTCCATCKACTGGTTTGGAGTGAATCAGTGGGGGTGAAAATCACCAGATTTATCATATTATATCGATTTGTTTGGGAGGCGATAYGATGTTTCTTGATATCACAAAGTCAATGCGATTTCGATTCAATTATATGTGATTTCATAGGCTCATCTAGCAGAAATGATTGTGTTAAATGGGCAAATGTTGACGATATAGATCTATATGATTGAATCATTAATCATGTAAGTGATATATGGATGTGGATCAATGTATCGTTACACCCCTATAAATMAACCAGGTTATGCAAAGCGTAATTTTATCAGACGTTGATGTTACGCATGGCTGAGATAAACAGGAAGTAGAGGTTGCAAACTAGCAGAGACTACACATCTTGGGACGATAGAGAGATGTTTTCAGGAATGTGTTGTTATCAAGTTGTACCATATTTATTCAAGTACAATACGTAAAATTAAATCCATAAAATCATCCATAAAGTTGGGGGGTAGTACTATACTTGGATAAAAATTTTTACTTATGTATTTTAACTGAAATATCGGCTTCATTCACAAAATGCCTGAGTCCGGAAATGAGACCGCGTCATAAAAAGCAGTTGAAACGAGCTTACCTCTGACACTCCTCCGTGCTTCTGAGTGAGATAATAGCAGATCCAGGCAGGCGACATGATGTGAAAAAGAAGGGGGAAAAAGTAGTCCTGCACCTCAGTAATGATAACGAACTAATGACATTAACGTGTGACTGGGCCGCTCCTCGAACAACAACAAACACATGTTCATCTGTAATGGCTGCCATCTACCGGTGTTCTGAAAAAGTTTGTATCCCTGAAAAAAMATTTCCCCACCAGAGGGAGCGCTCGCGAGTAGGAAGTAATCTGCTTTTCCCCCACAAGATGGTCCAAATCTCATGTGAAGTCTCTGACTTTTGTGTTGACGCCTCCTGGTGGACTATGTGTAAAATGCCAGAATTCATATGATGCTGCTACAGCTGATATATATTTGTTGTCAAAATATTTTTTAGTACATATGTTGGTAAATTAATTTAATAATTTAATTCTTTTTTGCCAAGTTCAAAAACCACCATGATGAGGGTAAAAACATTTTTTGTGTGGAATTCAGGCCATTTTTGAAAATTTTGCCATTTCCATCAACCTTTTCTAATGTGATACTTTAAAATGCTCTTAAAAAATGTTGAATGGAAACACGGCTACACTGCTCAGCTGACTGTGCTCCTGCTCTGTTATTTTTCTTCTTTCCATTTTATGGGGTCAGTCATGCAAAAAAAAAGGCATTATTTTGCTCCTTTAACTGCTCCTCAGCTTCGAAAAGAGTCTCGCAACAGTACTTGAAAGAGCCGTCYATCTCAATTTTCTCTTTCAGTTTGACTAGTGAATTATACTGTTACTGACGTTTATCAGTAGATTTGTAATAATTAAATAACAGAGGATGAATTGTTCTGACAGTTCGGCTTTCTATGACGAGGAAATTAAATTTGACTACAAGTATTCAAGAGCAATTAGTACACATGAAGAGGAGGTTCTGGTACATTGACTTATGTAGTTAAGTACTTTGTAAAATGGATCAGTTTCTTTTTTTTGTGTTGAACTTTGATCTCAAAGTTTTTTTAAATATTTAATGGCTAAAAGGGGTTGGAATTGAATTGAATAAATTTATACTAACATACTGTAATTGAGTTGTTCTATTGTAAACGATGTACAATTTTTTAAATTTATTTTTTACTATAAAGTTGAATAGAAAGTTTTTATTATCTGTCAGATGGTGACAGAAAAATTTCTTTGACTAGACTCCAACAACATTCTTGCACTTAAAACACAAAAAACACACAAAGTACACAGAAAACGCTAATTAAAACACATAAAAGGGAACTGTTAAAGGGATGTAAAAGTAYAGTTTTCATTTTAAAGTGTTCAAAGTGGATATTGAAAGCGAAGTGATATTGTTTAAATTTGATATTTTTTTTATTTTATCTTTTGTTTGAAATAAAAGTACACCCAGTTTTAAATTTCATAAAGTTTGTTTTCAGCTGCTTGTGTTAAATATTAGACAATTACAAATACTGTTACTGGAGCAGGAACAAACAATTGGCACAGCTTGTTTTGTTTCCAACTCTACCAGTAAATTAGAATTTAGTGGCAGAAACTAAGACATGGATTTTTTTTACCACTAAATTAAACAGACAGTTGTTAATCAAAGTCGGTGATTTGATTCCTTGTTTCAACCATGTGTGTGATGTAAAAAAGACTTCTTTATGCTACAAACTCCACTGCTCCTGATTATCCTAAAATATAAGCAAATGAATAGATAAATGAACGAGTATTCAGATTTAAATTGCCATCAGTGTTCTCAGGGCAGGGATGTCAGTAAGAAAAGGGTCTGCTCGGGTTTCTGAATTAATATAAGAGATCTGCCGCTTTACACTCGGCGAGAAGCGTCTTTTTCCTTTGCTTTGTTTTAATGAATGTGCAGCATCCAATTTGAGAAGTGCTGCACCAGAGCACAGCGTCATTACACGCGGCGCCCATTGTGTCTACCTTGATTACATTACACGCAAAACCACACCAAGCCGCCGAAGTGTGCCTGCGCGCGTCTCGACACGTCAGGCCACTCGGCGCGAGACTTTTCGTCTACCGTGGTTCGTTATCTCCGGGAAAAATTTCTGGTTTTATTTTTAGAACAAATCTTTGTGCTTCTGATAAAAGTTTCAAAACATTTGTGACATTATGTAAAACTTCCTTTTTTGATTTTACAGGGGGAAAAAAATCCACTTTTGTAATTGCTGCGTTCACTCTGATGATGTCATCATTTTTTTTTTAGATGTAAATGTTTTGTAAGAAAATTTAGGGTTCGTTAACTGAAATCGAGACGAAACCACATAAATGTCGAATAGATTAAAATGTGAAGAGATTGGACCATACAACACTAGTGACTGGAGTGAACGCTGCTTTATTGCTGTCTGTGCAAGCAGGAAACCAACGCTGGAAAGAAAACCGGAAGTCCCGGCTATAAGTACATGGTCTTCAGTGCCTGGTACGCCCACTACTGGCCTACGGCTGAATCGCAGACACTCTGAATAGCAGTGCTCACCTAATGTTTAATAAACGGTTTCTTATGTGTTGTGATGGTGTTTCGGGCATGTATCTAAACCTATTTTAATAAAGACATAATAATAGTCAAACAATAGATTATAAAAATCAATAGTAAAAAAGGAAAACTATGAAAATGGTGTAGTGCTTTTAAAATCAGCATCTAACATGACTAATAAATTTCTTCATTTTCATGAGCTTTTTGTTGACCGATTTAAAACTGGGAACCTGGTAATATTTAATTACAAATAAATACCACCGTATGACTTTCTGTATCTAATCACCTGATAATAGGAGGGAAAATGCTGTATTATGTAAAAGAACAAAATTTATTATCTCTTAGCTTTTAAATGTATTTGTTTTGCTGAATAGGATCAGTAATCTAAAATTTATTTAAAATATATGCAGTTTTCTGTGGTGTTCCTTCTTCAAAGCCAACAAATTCTTAAAAATAAAATAAAATAAAACCTTTTTATTTTGATTAATGAGCTTGCTGGTGTACCCCCTGTGGTGAGCGCCCCATTATTTGAGCAGCACCAAGACTTCTGCTTTTCGGTTTCTTGTCGCTGGTTCTGCTGCTGCAGGTGACTCATGAAAAGACAATTCTGTGTCCATCAAAGATAAAATATTTATCCTGAATAAACTCCAGAGCACACTGGCTTACGTAGAGGAGATTGGTGATATGTTGACTGTGAAGAAAGTGAGGGTAAAAGTGGAGTCGACAGGAGCCAGATGGAGATGTTCAAAGACCGAAGAGTCAGAGGAGGGAGGATAGACAGGAGCAGAACATCCCACACAGGAAAGCTGCAGCAGCAGGATGGAGAAGAGGCTCAAACAAATCATAAAAAAAATTAATTATTGTCTACRTTTAGTGAGGTTTTAACGTGATGCTGTGCTGACTTTTTTAACTGGACTTCTTTCTTAGAAAAAACAAGACAAAAAAATGATAGTTGCATGTGTTTGGAGTTCCTGAGTGTGTTGATTACAGTATATTCAGCCCATTATGTCCTAATTGCATGTGTAATTAAGGTTAGCTTGTAGAGTAGCAATAGGGGTTCTCTGCACAGTGTTCAGATGCCCAAAGGAGGAGAAGAAAAAAAACCTTGCATGCATCCAACCACAAAATGAGAAGCAAAGGAGCCGATCCTCTCTTGTATAGGTGCAGTAAGGTTGTAGAATAAGACAGTGAAATCTTTATTTATATAAAAGCATATGAGCAGAAACAGCTTAGAAATTGTTCAGGTCAGGCTTTTAAACATTATCTTCAGGATGAAAAGCTCTGAGAGAAAATGAGAAAGAATAACCACTCCTGTATACAAGCTGTAAGCCAACGTGTGCGCTTGTAGACGGACAAAGATAAAGACATGATCAATAAATAATTTCTTCCAGCCGACACTCTGACAGGAGAAAATAGAAAACAGTCGACAAAGAGATGAAGTATAAAGATTGAAGTGGTTGTTGCGTTGTTGGCAGAGCCCATTTGGAGGCGAGTGCCGAGCGCTGGTCGCGCCTCCTGGGCCTCCTGGAGGAGCTGTGGCGGTGGATCTGCATGAAGGACGAGGAGCTGGCCAAGCAGATGCCCATCGGGGGAGACGTGCCCACTTTGCTGCAGCAGCAGAGCCACTGCACGGTAAGTGCTGTTCCCCGCTGTCACAGCTTCCTCTCGCACTGAGATGTCATTTTTGTTTTTGTYGCTTGATGCCGACAGGCGAAACGCGATGATGCTTTTCCCAGTGACTGTGTGCCTGTGTCTGTTAGCGAAATATCTCATGAATGACTGAACAGATTTGAGTGAAAGTATCGATTGGMTGTACATAACTGTTTGACATTAACTCTGTCAGTCCGTTAGCAAAATATCTAATGAAACACTGGATGGATTTAAAGGAAACTTTCAGGAAGTCATCAAATGTACCTTCATGTCCCAATTCAAGGCTGCCGGAGCTACCTGACACCAGAAAACCCCAAAATGACTCATTTAATTTAACAGATATTGGGCTGAATTTTGTCACGGTATTAGTTTTAACCACAGTTTATACAATTGTTTTTCAAATAATCTTGTACAATTTTATGGTCTTGAAAAAATACTTGTCAATTCCTTTGGACGTTTACCCTCAAAATTCCGTAATTTTCACAAAAAAATCTGTATTACTCGCACGATAGGAGGGGTGGAAGAAAGAACGTGGAAAAGGACGGGGAGAGGTGGTGAACTTCTAGCGGCAGAGTGGGTTGGGATATGGTTATTTAGTTTAATTAATTTATTTAATTATTTGAACAGCCTACAATGTCTGAGACATAAATTAAGTTTGAAGCTAAGTTTTTGAAAAAAACGGAGGAATTTAGTTATAYGTTTATCTGAAAAAGTGCAAATCCATATAAATTACAGTTTGTAGAAGTTGACATCTTAATACACGATGTAGCTTTTAATGTCTGAGTTTATCTGTGCGTATTTTATCCTAAGCAGGTGCCGAATCCCCCAGGAAAATAGCAGAATCCCTTTTGCAGGTTAGCAGGGCTGCATAATTTGCCAAGCTTATCTAGAGCACGTTAGAGTTACATTTCTGTCATTTTGGACCTTATTCTCTCGCTCTTAGGTTCTAAATTTTTAATTGACACAATATTGAGGAAAAGAACTCATAACTAGCTGCCGTAAAGAAACGAAAAGCCCGTGGGGAAATTCTCCAGAGTGAAATAGAAGTGCTTGTTTTTGTGTTTTTTGTGGAGGTTTTTTTGCCTCTGACAGGCTCAGATTGCTGTGCGACTGGAAGTAAACACAAATTAGTTGCCTGAAACGGTCAACTCGGGTGTCGCTGACTCATAGCTGTGCTGAAACCACAAGAAAAGCCTGTTAATTATCATACTTCTCACCCTAATGTCAATCAGACTGGTCAGAGGTGTTGCTTTAAAACATGAAATATGTTTAACTTGTTTCAATTCAAAGTTAAAGACCTATATTATAAATTACCACAACGCATTTAGTGCTTTGATTCTATGTTCTTAGAAGGATTACTTACCACTTTTAACACCTCTCTGAGTCATTTATTCTGAATAAGCAATCGGTACTTTTACTCCTCTGACCTATTTCCACTGTTGCAATGAGCTCTATTTGAGTTCCCCACTATATTATTTATTGTAAGCACTGCTTATTGTTATAGCACCTAGAACAAATCATCTTCTTCTTCTTGCTATTAAAAGCTTTTGCCATCCTGATGCAGGCCGCCTGAATGTTTTGTACATCAAAAGATCTGAAATGTGAAGCGAAGAGGGTCACAGACTGAGACAAATTAGTCAATATAGTCTAGAAAATGAGGACAGCATTCCATCTCATGTTTGTAATTGATGCATTGCTTAGTAGTTTATTTAGGACATAATTCATCTTCGTGCATGCAGTGCGTGTGCTTTAACCACTTGCGATCTACAAACACACACGTTACAGCACCCCAGTGTCAAAAACAAAAAAAAAGTTAAATTGCGTTTAGTGAAATTCTTTTAACTTTTGTGCAGATGCTATGCAAACAGAACTGAATGACTTCGCTAAAGAAGCAAAACTTAGATCAGCCTTTGAAATTAAAGACTGGRTTATTATTATTTTTGCGTTAGCTGAGATCAACGAGCTGTGGCACACATCTTGAATTAGGTCGACTCCAAAAGTTTCGGTGGACAAAGCTGGGACCCGAAACGATTCTTAAAAATCTGTACAAGGGTTCACGTCATATTTCGCTAACAGAAATTTGAACACAGTCACTTACAAAATAAAAGGCCAAAGATGAGCAGAGAAAAGGCACACCTTAAAAACTTTTCATTGATTTGGGAATTCAACAACTCATCCCAAGTCTAAAAAGATCTTGAAAACTAATTGTCAGTAGATCAATGTGCTCTGTTCATTCTTACCTAAAGGCAAGCTATCGAGAGAGAGAAAGGTAATTGATCTCTCGTAGACTCAGTTTGCTCTTCAAGCAGCGGGTGATCAATTTCTTGGCTGCTGTATTATCTGCCAGGAATAGTCTCWAGATGGTTTCATTAGGTATCATTATTTAAAAATAAAAGGTACAAAGAAAGATTTCTCCAGGATTCTGCCACTCTTTATGTTTCTGCTGCGGGGCAGCGACAGTCAAACCAAGAGATCGTACAGTTTACACAAGGAAGGAATAAATGCTTCGGATTGTTTTGCGAGGAAGAAAAGAAAATGCACGCTGACATTTGTATAAAGAGCCGGGTTCTGTTCCGTCATCTGATGGTTAAGACCTGCAATCAATGAGTCAGTGAGGCAGCTTTATTTCTCTTTTTGTTTTGATCTTTTAGACAAAGAGCCACATTTCAGGCTGAGCAACATTTGTCCTTGTTGGGGAGACGACAATGAGGCTTTCCCAGTTGTCTATCAGCGAATCTATAGATCAGAAGTGTTATGTAAAGAATCATTTGAGCAGAGTTCGATCTTGATTTTCAATACCTTGAAAGAAAATGTAGTTATTTGTGTTCGTTTACCGGCTGTGTGCTTAACCATACGGAGAATGTACAAATGCATGGAAAAGGTTATTAAAGAGGAACCATACAAAATCAAAGATCACTCTTGCTGAAGTCGGGTTTAATCAAGTGACCGAGAGTTCAGACCGACAGTAGCTGCATTTCCATTGCAAATGTGCGCAAAACTTTGTTGATATTCTGTTAATGTCGAAAAAACACAGTTTCGCAACTGTGGTGTTTCCATTAAGTAAGAAATGCTATTAAAGTCACGCGTGAATACGTTTGTTCTCGCGGTAAGTCATTACGAACATGGCGGCAATGGATGTAAACACATAGCATATTGCTACCGCGACACTAGCGCTCATCATCAGAGGAGACGTCGGCGTCTTTTATCGAGGCTTTCCAGAGACAATTCCCTACTTGGGAGCGGCTACATATGCTGTGTTTTTGGGAAATTGTAGTCGGTGAGTTTACTACTTCTGTGATTTTACTACTATTTCTACTTCCTGTTGTCTTCTTCATCGTCTTTTTCGCCAGTAGAAACAGCCGGTTGTTGATCACGTGACTCCCGTGATGCGAAAAAAGTGTTTCCATTGCAGTTTTGCGAAAAACACCTATTTCGATATCGCCGAAATACCACCTCATCCTAGCGCAAAAACATTTTGTCGAAAAACGTAATTTTTTTCGAAATTGACGTGTTTCCATTGAGCAAATTTATTTTCGAAATTCTAATTTGTGCATTTTCATGGTCAATGGAAACGCAGCTACTGAGGAAGTACATTTAGTTTTAACAAGAGCTCCGAGGCTTGGCTCCACCTATTTTGATTTTGATTACATCATCAGCAAGGGGGGGGTCCCTATATTTAGAAGCCACACCCCCAGACATTATAACCTTTTTCTAATGAAGATTTAAAAGTTCAGTTATGTGTTGAATTTGTTTTCAGGCATGTAGCTATTTAATATAAAATCATCAAGTTAAGCAAAACAGTCACATTTAACAATCTTTACAGTTCTATTATAAAACTATACCATGTGTATGCAATTTAAATCAGTTATATGATCTAAACACCAATAATTTCTTCAGCCTTTTTCAGGTTTTATTTCGTCTTCTCTTAGCACTCCTCATTTCTCCTTTTTCTTTCCTTCTGGCTTCGTCCTCTTTCTGTTATTCATCTCCAAGTCTTCAGCCTTGAGAACGCTGAAATTGGGAAATATTAGAGCAGGGGAAGTCGAAAGTGATGAAGGATTCGTTTCTCATTTTCGCCCTGTTATATTCCCCCCCCCCCCGTATTCCTAATAGACTAGCCTTGAGGTCTCGTTGACCCTGAGAAGGATGAGGGGGTCGGAGCAGAACAAAGAGCTCCGGCTTTAGGCAGGTCATGCTCGATTACTCACTTTCCCCGACAGAAGYAAACTTAAGACACAACTGAGCTCAAAAATACACACTGTTATTCGGCAACTCTCCAACCGCTCTGTCAGAAAAAGGGACGAATCGTGCATAAATGTATGGAAAGCAGCATCACTGAGGTCAAAAACAGAGGCTCTGAATGTCCAAGTGAAAAATAAAAATGTATATATAAATATAAATACTTTTCTCCTCTTTTTTTCTCTATTTTGAGAGGCTCAAAGAGATAAAAGAGGAAGGTTAAGTCACTTAGCCCAGCAGAGGGCAACGGATATTGCCGTTATTAAAGAGTCGGAGCAAAGAGAAATCCTAAGGAGCAGCAGTCTAGACTGAAAGAGAGGAAAGTATCGATGAGGAGTAGAAAACAAAAGCACAGACGAGAAGAAAAGAGATTCGTGGACATGTGAAAAGGACGAACAGGATTGTAATTTATAGTCAGCATAATCAGTTTAAAATAGACACACTCATGCATTGATTTGTGTGTTTTTCCTCTGCTAAAATGGCTGTAATAGCATTTATTAATTGCATATTCAATTATCCAGTAGAAGCTCTTTGTCAGCGGCTGATTTGACTCATCGGTTTACTTTATGAAATTCATAGTTTACAGATAAGGACAGAGGAAGGCTCGAGTAGTTTTAATGACTCTTATATCATTAGACAAGTCCAGGCTGGTTCTTTCAGAAGCTCGTTTAAAATGTTTCGGAATCATTAAAAGCCAAGACAAATGACCCACCTGTGMTAGACTTTCACAATGTGTTTGTTTT